AATGCGGATTCCTGGGTAGTATCACTTGGGCCCCAATCGGAAGGGGAAGTAGGGTGGATCATTCGATTACTAAAGCGTGGAGAAGCGTCCGGTCCTAACGAACGTCCCCTTAATCTTTTGAAACTAGGTGAAGATGCCTTGATAAAGTCACTTACCACCTTGCTCCGTGACATTCAAGACGAGGAATGTATTGCGTTATCATTATATATATCATTATACTCATCTTTTAAAGAGGACTATGCAGTGATCGTAGTAATCATCGTGGATTCATTTTCATTTCGATGACCACGAATGTATTAGCCTCGATTTTGCTGCGCCGTCTGACACCGAATCGCGAGAGGAATGCCCGCAAACAACAGACCGGATTCCGTTCAGGTCAAGGATGCTTTAATCAGATTTGTCCTCTTCCACAGTCACTTGAAACGTGTCACACGCATCGTCGACCAACAATGATGGTTTTTCTCTACTTTAAAGGCGTCTTCGATTCAGTTGATCGAACAACGTCATTCAGTGTTCTGCACCGAAAAGGTGTGGCACTAAAGTTTGTCAGTCACCTCAGATCGCTGTACTCTTAAACTTATGCCCGCGTAAGGGTTCACAATGAACTATCCAGCCCATTCGAAACGAACAGCGGTGTTCAACAAGGGTGTACCATTTCGCCATTTTTGCTTACCCTCATCATCGATGAGATAATGGAGAATGTTCAGGATGTGGGCGTCGAGCTGGCAAATGGGGGAAACTATGTGACCTAGATTACACCGAAGACCTTGTCGGCTTGTTCGAATATACGGAATACGCGCAACGTGCACTAAATAGACTAAGGTGAGCTGTAGCTCTATTTGGTATGCGCTTTGCACCTCCAAGGTGTAAAGAGATGTTGCAAGACTGGACGTCAGTAGTTCCAAGCTTGATGCTCGGTGGAGAGGTGCTGACAGTTGTCGACAGTTTCACTTACCGCGGCAGTATAGTGATGACGGGTGGGAACACGGTAATAGAAGTGAGCACGTGTATATCCAAGGCTCGAGTGGCGTACGATGGACTGAAGCACTTGTGGCGTCGACCTGACATTTCGTTGAAGATGAAGGGTCGTGTGTACAGTGCCGGGGTGCGTTCACTTTTGTTTTATGGTTGCGAGACTTGGGGTCTGTGTGTGGCAGATTTTCGTCGTCTTGAGGTTTTCGACCATCGATGTTAAAGTAGTATAGCTAAGATTGGATGAAATGACCGAGTAAGCAATTCTTAGGTCATAAATAGAGTTTTAGGTACTAATCCAGAGAATATTCTATCACAGCTTATTAAACTTTGTTGGTTGGGACACGTGTTACGTATGGCAAGAACACGTCTACCGTACTGTGCCCTATCTTTCGTTTCTCCTCGGGAGTGGAAGAAGCCATGTGGAGGTCAACAGATGGCGTGGCAATGAGGATTGAGAAATTTTACAGCGAACTTAGGAAAATTAGGCGCCTCACGTCTCTGTGGTTGGAGTCCAAAAGATCCATCTACCAGTTGGCTGGAGACACTGAAGGATATGGCAGCGAACCATGAACAGTGGCGATGGTGTTGTCATTTTCTGTTGAATCAGAATGACTGATCAATGCGCGTTTGTACAGTTAGACTGTGTATTCCGTGTGTTGGCTACCATGGCATTGTTTCCTTTCCCCATCCCTGTAGGTCCACTCCCTTTTTATATTCATACTTTCTAATTCAACGTGCAACATGGTGAGAAAGGCAGTTGTCAGTGGGGCTTGCCTCACTGTTTAGCGCTTTACGATGACGATGATTGTTGTCATTGGCAAAAAGCTGCAGAACTTTGCACATCCAAGTATGAAACAGCTGTACAGTGCTTCCATGGTTTTCAATGGTGAGTTGAGCGTCGAAGCTGCATGATGAATTGTATTATACAGATCTAATCTCCTGCTACTCAAATGCTGCTGTAGAACTGACTGCTCTGGGCAAGTTGAAAAGGCTCTGGGTTTTCACGTGTTGACTTGTTTACCTAATTACTTCACGAATAAATCGGTTCGATCAAAAACTAGTTGAGATGCGCCGCGGACCCCCCTAGCACACTAATATCATCCGCGAACTCCAGGCCCGAGGTATACATTTCCTGACTCATCTGGATGCCAGGGTGATCAGTCGGTGCCTGATTCTTTGTCCAGTCGACTTTATATTTGAACGGCATTAGTGAAAGAGGAAAGCCCTGTCTGACTCCGGTATTCAGTGCGAACTCCGTCGATTCTTAGCGCCCTAATTGACTTATAGCACCTCTCAGATTCTCCGCGATTTTTTCATCCCGTCAGATTTCATTACCACTCAAAAAAACTTCCGGTTAACAGAAACGAAGGGGACTCTAGTGTCCATCAACCAAGCTTTGGTGGGCTGCTGGAACCTGTAGGGATACTCCCGTGTTCTAGGTAAGGTGAAGATTCAATCAACTCAGCCTCTGCCTTGACGGAAACCCCCTTGATTATTCCGTCGAGCCAGGCGATGGTAGTTGATTGGTTCAGAGCGTTTGCTTACCACCTCAGAGGTCAGAGTTTCGAATCCCGCCACCACCGGTCACTTTGGTGGTAGACAGTAGTCCACTGTTTTCCGCTTGACTTGTTGAGGCCTTATATGGTTCTCCTCTCCAAGTCTCCGTGTTTAGTAGCCGGTTATCCCTAGTAGTGCAATGGGCCATTGAGTCTATGGGGTATAACCCTAACAGTGCAGTAATTCGCAAACATGTTACAATAAAAAAGAGAACTGGTTGAATAGCTGCTCGCAGAAAAGCTTTGTAGTCATGTTGATCAGGCTGATCCATCGGTAGTTCTCCCACATATCCTTATCCCCTTTATTGGGGATGAGTAACAGAATAGACGTGCCACGGTCTGTCGGGAAAAACTCATCTCTCCATATGAAGCCAAATAGGGCGTATAGCCTCTCAATTAATAAGCGTAGACATCGTTCGTAGGCTTCTGGTGGTATACTATCTTTCAGGATGACTTTCCTGTGCTCTAACTGATTGATGACCGTGACGTTCTCAGTCGTAATAGGTGGATCGTAGCTAACATCGTAAGGCTCTGGATGAACTGCGGGCTGTATGTTCATCGAGTAATCTGATGGTTGGTTGAATAATCGGTTGAAGTGTTTTATCCATCATCCTATTTTGCCTTTTCTGCCTAGGTGTGGCCTGACCTGCTGCGCTGCACGGAAGTGACTCATGCAGCTCCTACCGAAAGCGTTGCGAATGAGGCAAACTTACTTGCTGACGTCACCAGCCCCTGCCTCGATCTCCTTTATCAGCTACTTCTATCAAGTGCTGCTTATAATCAATTCTAGCGGAATATGAGACCCCCCGCAGCAGTCTGCGGCGTTCGATACTCCCTGATAGCCAGGCTTCATATGCTTCGGCTGGCGGCTGAAGTGTGCCCTCAGGGATCCAGTCTTACAGACGTCTTTAACATTTCCCTAGTTCTTTCAGAATAGTTTATCTAACCGTCAACTTGATCATGGTTCATCGTTCTTCAACTTGAGTTGCATCCATTTGCACGTAGGTTGCGGGGATAATCGGGTTAGGATAACGTTTGATAGCGCTTAATGTTTCTCTGGCATTTCCAGAGCTACAGCATTATCCAGGCTGATGGAGAAGCCTTAATATTCGTGGACAGACGAATTCTGAAGCGTGCGCGTATGGGAACATGGTCTATGCTGTTAGTGTTTCTTGTCGCTGTACTGGTACACTCAGCAGTCCTTTACGGTCGAAGCCCAACAGGACCTCACTAGGATATAGTGAATCTGATGCGAAGTGCAACCGTCGTTCGAATAAGAGGCCGCCAGTCGCTTCTTAAGGTGTTGTCCTGCTGCAAACGACCATTCAGCTGACGGGCAAACGGACCAGGCGGTCACTGTCCTTGCATCTCTGACTAAGGCAAAATTTTCTCAGGATGTGCAGATTTAAATCAATCGTGTGTCCCGTGCGAGCGTTCCAGTTGGCTCCCATAAACAGTGTCAACTTTTCTGATTGTGTCTGCCGCGTCATCCACACTCGTGCTGACACATGGAGTTACATTTACTTAACATTTTCTCTGTCGTTGGGATACGGGCTACTAATGAGATAAGGTTGATTTGTCCATATGATTAGCGTTATACGTATGAGACAAGTACTTGTCAGGGTGAACTATGTAAAGGCTGTGCGCAAGGAGACATTTGTGACGTCAACTCATAGTTATCATATCACCACGCCTCTACTTTATGCCGGACTATCGGTGAATCACAGTTGTGATTCATTTGTGGGCTCTTCAATGAAGAGTATCCATTCACACTCCAGACGATTCAAATTAGATTCTAGTGAACATATAACATCGGAGTGTACAAGTATGAAGACGAGTGGGCAGAGGAGTACCGGGTACGCATACCTGATGAGCGGCAACAACCGCGAAACCGGTCGTGTGCTACCGGGGGATTTTTATCCACACGTTAACATACCACTTACTATCAATATATATATATATATATATATATATATATATATATATATATATATATATGCTCACATTCTGTTCCTTCGTCTTAGAGAACTCTCCTGAGTGATGGTCTAAAATAAATTAGACCCGGTAAGGAACAGAAGAGAATTGTACATCTGTTTAAGGTTTACCTTTGTGCAGAGATATTCGTGAACTGTATACTACTGGAGGAATTTTCGTGATTGTTCTTCATATACGCAGCTCATTGTTGCTAGTATTAGTGTCATTTGCATGTATATGGAGTGAATTCGCGACATGCTCAAATGAAGAACGAGCTTCGCTTTGGTGGCGTAAGAAAAAAGACGAATTTCAAGTGTCATTTTGTTTGGTGGTATTGTATTGCTTACTTTGTCCACTTCAATCTTGAATCCTTCTCCATCACGTCCCAGAAAGACTTGACGAATTTAAGCTTCCCCTTTCAGATACTATTTCAGGGTGTTTTCAAAAGGTCGCAGTTTTTTAATAAAAGGCGTCTTTTGCCGTTTCTATTACTAGCTTCATAACCTGACATTGGTTAACACAGGTGATTTCGTTAAACGTTTCTTGGAGCGCAGTTCAACCATCAAACATATCAGTTGTCAAAAACGTTTGACCCGAACCATTCAAGCCTTTAAATCATCTAAATCCGCAGGTAAATAACTTCTGTTAATTTGTATTTCTATTTGGTCGGACTTTTGCGTGAGCAGACGTCCGCATTTCAGTCAAAAAAGATTTTTACTTATTATCACAGTCGACCGGAATTGTTATGTATTGTTCGTTAAATTTCCGATCTAAATGCAGTTTCACTTCACTACGTTTCCCAGGACAGAGTAATCAGTAGGTCTGTTTATTCGCAATCTCTTTGATTTTAGGTTTCACTGTGAATTCAGTTGCCAATAAATGTAACTTTACCTTACTTCTAGTCATTTGTTACTCATTCAGTTCTAATGAAAGTCTTTTTTTTACTTAAATAGCTCTGTCCTGTACTTCCTTTCCAGCCGTGAATCGTAACCTTAAAGTTGTAAGTTCCTGCCACGATTACCTAGTGTTTTCGTGAATGAAATTCTTTTTTGATATTTATTCTGTGATCTACCAAGAAGGTTGGTTTTCACTCAGGTTCCCTGTTGTTGCATTCTGAGGAAAATTGACATTCGTGACTGCCCCTATTCTTTGCGGTTTAGACTATCCTTTTACTTTGGCGTTGTATGTAATTTAATGTGCAGTATTCAGATTGAATAGCAGTTACCGGTTGGTTACAAATGAGCACAGATTTCCGTCAATGCTCTCATACTTTTCATTCTAAAACTACTCGTTAATACTTGCCGGCCCTAACAATTTGGTCGTCTATATATATATATATATATATATATATATATATATATATATATATATATATATATATATATATATATATATATATATATATATATATATATATATATATATATATATATATATATATATATATATATATACTCATTGTCCTATTTTGGTTCTTTCGCTCTCCTTTTGTTTTGTTTTACCTATATAGAAAAAAATGTAAATGTTGTTGGGACTCACTGAGTAATTCAAATTAAATTGTCAGGCGGATGTTGTTTTTTAGGTGAAAAGTTAGAAATTAATTAGATGGTTCATATAATCAGTTAAAATTGGAAAAGGTTGAACTGACCATTCATAGGAACAGAAGCTCACTTCTAATTTCTGATGCAATTTGATTGCATTTTGTCCAACAGTTCGGAAAACGATGGCGATCACCAACTTCCGGTACCGTTCCTTTGCATAAATCCAAACAGGTAATTTTCTTGAATTAATTGCCGATCTAGATCATTCATTCATTCAGTGGGCGAGTCAGTCAGTTAGTGAATCAGTTGATCGGCTTTCCATGTTATCCATCGTTACTATGGTTATACTGTCCGATAAACACTCATCGTTCGGTATCAACGCAGTAAACTGTTATTTACCCTCGTGGCAAAGGTATTCAAATTTTCAACTGTACCATTCAAGGTGTTAGAATCGATTGTTCTATTTTTTTAATTTTTGAATGGTGTTGTATTTCTTCTGTCGGATTTTTAATGAACGTGGACTTTCTCCATCAAAAGCGTGTTCCTTACTGTGGCAGAATGTTGTAGCATTCAGGCTTAGTGCTTTCTAGGTTGTTCTGGCGGTTGCAGTGATCGGGTGTTGGTTTCTCCCTGGTCTACTGTTTGAAGATCCCATGAACCGCTGACATTCGAGCGTTGCTTTTGTTGAACATTGACGGCATCAGTGTCAGTCTTCCACTTTTTCCTCATTTGTGTATGTTGAAGCTGAAATCCTAAATGGAAGGAGATCGATGGTAGGAGTCTCAGGCGTGTTGGTCAAACAGTCAGTCTCCTGCTGTATCGCACCCCTCGGGTTTTCGGAAATTGGGTACATCTCGAGAACTGCAATTTACAGTGTTGCAGTTGTATGTACTTTTGCGAATAAAGTAAAGCGTTGGTGATTGGTGAGGAACGAATGTTTTAAATATATCCTTCAACGCAAATATGCACAGACACTGACTTTGCTCGCTTGTTGCACACACAGACTCGGTAATGAAGTCCATAGCCCAGTCAGGGTTACGTCATCGTGTACAAACTGACGAGTATATTGTATATTTCACACTCGTCTTATCTCAGGCTGTGTGCGAAACAATACAGTACAAAGGGGGAAGAGTACATGGAGTTGCATCCCATAGTCTGGAAACAGACGAAGACCCGGTTGAATCTGGAAATCCGGAATGATAAGGTTTCGTCGGGTCTCTCACATGATCTCAGTTTTCACTTGACCAGTCGACCGGGCGAGACCAAATTGTAATCACCGCGACCATTCATCGCCTCGTTAATGGAATGGTCTCGGTACCAATTGGGTGCTAACGAACGATGTAAGATAGCCTATTGAAATTACATCTGAACTTTAACCCTCGGGGTGCATAAAGCGATTGCTTCAGTTGCACTTATACTTCAATGATGAAGAAAAAAGTTCACATGAATTCAAACTAAGTGTCGAATGTCTTCCCATAAACGTCACTTGTAAACCCCTTTGATAAGGTCTGTGTGAGTATTCTTGGCATCCCATATTGGTGTCCTGAAGCTATTTGAATATTTTTCCTAGGCTTCTCCAACTCGAACGTCGATTGCACTCCATTCCCTTTACATTCTCACTATCACCTGAACTTTGGGAACGCCCAACCCATCTGTTCGTTAGCACCCGGTTCATACCGAAACCACTCCACACGGGTCAGGTTTGGTCCCGTCGACATTCGCTCTTTCCCCCCTCAGTTTTGGATTTCACGCATGGTTCGGCTCATGCCGATCTAATCGATCACGCAACCTGTCCGGCAGATACGCAAGCATGTCGCTTATAACATGGGCACAGGCCCCTTGGCCCAGTTCGTCTGTGTCCACACTCACAGCGTGAATATAGACAGTAGTTCACTTGGCGTGCTTGTTGCACACGCAGACCCATGACTCAGCCATGGTTATGTCATCACGTGAAATAGCCTTCGGTTCAGCCGTAGCACCACGTCGATCATGTTTGCAACGCTTAAATTGATTCGAAACAAATTCCTCTTGGCTCTAGAAGAAGTTTCTCTTCTGAGATTTAATTTTCGCTCCGGCAGCTGCTTGCAGCACAGCTGTCTCGTCCGCATTGCAGACAGCGGCCGGCGTATCCATGGTCCAACTCCGGTAACCCCACTCGAAAATCGTTCACCACATCATGTGGTACTGTCAAACGTTCACCACAAATCTGAAAAGTAAAACACGAGGCATTGCCTGTCTCTTACTTTACAGGACTGAACGGCACTTCTATTCGACCGAGATGGATGTCTTAGAGTCATCAAGATGCAACTTCTGCGTTATCTGTACGGCTCTCTTGCAAACGATGCTCTCTAAAATCGGAAACTCATGCTTTTTCCTCATAGCGCTACACCATGCCAAAGGCGTCTCATCTACTGCTAAAAAATTTTCATTAGTTTTGAAGTGGCACCTTTCCAGAGAAGCACACGTCTTCAAAAAATCTTTGATAACCGTTCGATTGAATATAACATTAAGAACAAGCTTCCTTGAAATACCGTGTGACTTAGCCACTAATTTCTGCGTTGCAAAAGGCCGACTTAGCATATCAAGCACATTCCTCTCTGATGGACAATCGCTATCACGTGAAGTGCCATCGGATCGCACTCCCGATATCCGCGTGCGTTCATCACAAGCGTTATCCAGACAGTGAACGGCACCGTGTGCAGCACACTATCTGAGACGCCATTGACTTAATGCGACATTGCTTGTCCGTTTGTCAGTGGCCAAGCCGTGCATCGGTAAACAACAGGGTGAGCAAGTAATAGCAGGTGCGACACACTGCCGGGGGGGGGCAATCCGTGTTCAGCTCTTACGTTATTACATACAGTTGGTTTTGGTTTGTTGAAAATTAGGAAGATATTCCATAGGTGCGACATGGGAGATTGACTGTAGTTGCATTATTTTTCACTTTTCAATGAAGCCTGCAGCTTTCTCGGATTAGCGTGTCACCTGTGCCCACCTTACGCAGCCAACTGAAACGGTAGGACAAGTCGGTATTACCATCGATCGCCCTCGCAAAAAGTGTTTATTGCGGTTTATTGCTCATACATGGTCGTTATGAGTTTATCAGAGTATTGAAGACTTTTTTACTACTTACCCACTCAGTCCAAAGTAGAATGACCGGCAGTGCCCCACTCGAACTTTCTTTTTGAGGTTTCAAGGTGTCGTGGTGTGTCGTGATCACTGGTGCTTTTGTGTTCCCAAAATTTTTTCGTCTACTTGATATTATCACCTAATATTCTCTCCCCACTATTCTCGTACTCTCATTATTTTGGTTTTTGGATAAGCTTCTTGCTGATCGATAACTGACGCACCTAGCACATGGTTAATTATTGTTCAAACTGAACCGAATTGTTCTAGAGTGCACTTCTAACTTTTCCACAACCGAAGGCGAGGCAGTTCGGCTGATAAAGAGAGAAGCAAGACCGTACACTCACCTCTCATAAAGAGTCCTATCACGTAAACAATAATAGGCAGTTTAGCTTATTAGATTGAGTTGCGTCACCGCTGTTCACATGCATCTCAGATGGTTTATCGTAGAAGACACTTTAGGTGTATTCAGGTCTCCTTTCGGTTGTTGTTGGCCCTCTGGACTCTTAGAGAGTGGGTTTAATGACAACAATCAGCCTTGGTAATTTACCAATCTTCACGACGTAAAATAGTCTTGTCGTAAAATCTCATTTGAATCATTTCAAATGGCTGTTTGTGCGGCTTGGGAGAGGATTATGTTGTTATGGTGGTGGAATGGATATTGGGGTGCCGTAGTGATTGTTTTCATTGCTTGCGGTCATACGTAAAGATTGTAGGAAATCTGCGATCGACGCAATGTAGTCCTGAGTAATAAATGATCAAGAAGTTTCCCGTTAAATTAGTTGCTCATTTTCAGTGTTCAATTTTTGTACACATGAATATATACACTTTCTGAGCCCCGTATAATTCATCGGCTACTGAACTATATTCATACCACCAAGCGCAACTTGTTTTGTCACATTGCACGTGTTAATCATTTTACCATGTACCAGTTAAGGTAAATGAAGGAAAATCATTTTCATTGTTTATTATTGTATATTTATTTTCCTTCACTCGGTGACAGCAAGTGGTTTCAGGGTAGAATTGTAAGTGAAAGCTCCAACTATATCGTGAAAAACTGCTTAGGTAACGTACCCGTTGATTTCATTCCACAAACATGTAGCGTAGTATTTCTTACCATTGATTTGATGGGTCTGGTGGATCCCACAGATAAAGTCACATTCTTCTTGCACAGACAGAATTAATGGTAATTATTTTCGTGCCTTTCGTTATGTCATAAATTAAACAAAAATTGCACGCGGAAAAAATCTCTTTTTTACTTCCTTCTGCTGTGATATTGGAATCTCTCTAGTCCATAACAAGCTTCCTTTTAAGTTCATGGATGAACATGACTCAGTAAAAGGGCTGGACCCCCGTTGGCTGAAGTACATTCTGGTTGAAGAGAGGAAAAAGATTGTATAGTGCTCCACAGGTCTGCAGTTCGAGAAGTGTATGCCGCATTGAATAGCAACGTTAAATACCCTTTTGTGGGATTTTTGCTAGGGAAGACTCCGCTCTTAAGAAAAAGACTCATTGAGAGATGACTTCAGAAGATAAATTTAGTTAGTCAGTTCAAACGAACAAATTTCATTGTGAAAAACGGTGTCCGAGAGCACACTTGGGGTGAAGTTAAACGGGGGTTATTTGGCCGCTTCGGATTCGGTGTTGTCCGCTTTGGTCTCTCTTGGTTACTTGTCGTAAATTTTTGCGTCTCAGGTTCATTCACCCCTTACTGCCTATAACAAAACCTTGGCACCAATAGTCAATGAAAGATCTCTTACTCAGCATTTGACAAAGCATTTTTTGGTCGAAGGTTTCGAATATTGTCTTGTTTTTCTACAACGGCATGGATTGATGATGGGTACGCTGTACTCAATTTTCACTCTCCCCTTCCATGTTAGCCTTGGAAATTGTTAGAAGCTGAGAAGATATGGTCAATGAACATTTGTGGATCAGGTGTCCGAGTGGGCATATTTGATACTGGTCTCGCCCCAACCAAAAATCATCCACACTTTCATCGTGCTCGTATCCGCGAACGTACGGATTGGACTCGTTCGGAAGATCGTGATTATTTACTACGAGTACGTTAACAGATTGTTGAGCATTACTATTACTACCACTAGGACTTTATTGTTCCAGTCATTGTTACCTGCCAGATACAAACTGTGATTTGTATCAAAAACGCCTTAAAGTAAGAAATATCGAAAAGAATAGCCTCGATAAGTTTTTATATCAGCTTAGTTCAGGTAGATACCAACGCAGGCCATCGTTAGTCTAAAAGTAAATCATTTTCCTCGCGCATCGAGTTTATTTTTTTTACCGGGCCGGAGTATACAGGGTTCACTGGCAGTAGTTGAACAAGTTCACTTCCTTGTTCAAACTCTCAAATCTGCCGATGATTCTTTTCTGGAGCCAGCATAATCTTGGTGATGGAGGCTGTCCGGAGCCAGGAAGTTCTTTGTGGTGGTTTAATCGATCAACCTTTCACTGAACATCCTTTGTAGTTTTGATTACCTTCTCTCGCTTTCACGGCAAACAGACCTGCTGTGGCTCACTGCATATTCTTGGGGCGCGATTCGCCTTGTCGCATAACGGTGGATATTCGATCGATCACTGCCTCTCTCAGTACCTGGACTCGAGAAATCCTAGGTACACAGAATTTCTCCTATTCACTTCTAGGCTATAAATTGATGAAAATTTTCATTTTTATGCTGCTGTATCATATGTGAGCAGTCTCAGCTTTTGATGTGTGCTTCATTTGAGCCGCGATAAGGATTCGGTGGATATGCAGTAATACTAATTCCGAACAGACAGACGGATGGGACCGTTATAAACAGTTGTTACCAGATTGATACCAGGGCGACAAGATTAACAATTACATAATAACAGTAACAGTAGAAATATAATGCAACGGGGTAAAGGAGAGTGGCCAATAAAAAACAGAACGAATGCTTTTGCATGTTACACATTTTGATGTTTTCTGGTTCTAAGTGTTGATGGGAATCGAATGTTCAATAAACTGGCCATACAGCGTTCGCGCTACTATGTTCTGAGCCATATTAATCAACGTCCCTAACCAGCGAAAATTTTCGTCTCTTAGGCCCCAACCAGGAAGGTGAGAAGCGCCAACTGAAGTCAATGCCGATGCTAGCAGCTTCATGCCCTTACACCAAGTCCTAGCCCAACCACCGCGTCCCTTTTTCCAGTCTTGTCCGGCACATGCGAATAGAACACGGATAAGTAGACGATGGACAGGCTTACGTAAAATGTGTCCAAGCCACCAGAGGTGGTGCAGAGCTATTATCTCGATCAAAGAGTGATCATTTGCACTCAACACACGGTGACCAACGCCATCAATACCCACTCATTGTTCCCACCAGACGGAGGCAATGCTTCGTAGAAATCGGTTCTCAAATACAGAAAGAAGCCCAGTATTCTCAAGACTGGATGGCGGGTTTCACAACCGTAAAGGAAAACACAACGAACCGTGCAAGTTTTACACCCGTTCCTCGAAGGAGAGCCGCATGTCACGGGGGTGCCACAAGTGTCACTGGTTGGCGAAAACCACTCTAGCTCTCGTTGTTCGCGAACCGATGTCCTCCACAAGTCTACCTCCAGTTGTGATCAAGCTCCTGAGGTACTTGAAATTTTTCGACTAACTCCAGCTAATTACAAAAAGGATAATTGCAGGTACAGACTCCTGCCACTCTTGTAGATGCACTTTGCACTTTAAAAGCGCAATGTGCATATCGTTTACGGGTATCTCAACCGTCAAGCGATCCAGAGCGTGTTGAGTTGCTTGTGTATTTTCACTCAGTAAGGCGATGTCATCGTTGTATTCCCATTCGAAAATTCCCTGAAAATAGTTCAACTTCACTTTACAGAAGATCGTCAAGGTATTCCGTAGTACATGTTCTTTGACATAGTTGAAAAGAAAAGGGAATACAGGACAACCTCAATGTACTCCACTGGAAACCACAAAAGTGGGCAAAAGCTGCCTGTGGGCCCTAATTCGACATCACAACTCTTCGAGGACTGAGGCACTCTGTTTCTCAAAAATCAGTTCCATATTGCAATCCTATCAACAGAATCGAAGCACGCTCGAATGTCTTCATAATTTCCGGTTGAGGCTCTCATTTCGAATAACAACTGAACTGAACGGACCTCGGAAAACAGTCATCGTTGGTTTCTCGAAGATAAAACGGTGCTCTAACAGCTACTGAAAGGAGAAGATTCCATGAATACGCCCACCGTCGGCGTTTACCCAGCCCGTTGCTCGATAATCCGCTGTTTACGCGTTTTTCACAGGCGGCGATGTATGAGATACGGAACGAATGATTGACTGTGAATCTTTTGAATGTGACACACGTCGATGGCAAGGCTCTAAAACGCGCGAGCTAAACATGTTCGTTGTCTCATGCACATCAGAATTAGTACGTTGGTCACGTGGCTAATTTAACTGGGCATCGAGGACGAAAGAGGACATCAACCGGTGGTAGAAAAGTTGGCGAGACTCATAAAGTTGTCGGGTAAGGACGAGAAGAAACCACAAGCGGCACCACTGCTAATACGGGCAACCAAAGTTCCCGTTAGAAGTGAAAAAATGTAGGAAGAATGGCGAGAGAGAGGGGGTTTGGGAAGACAATTTGTTGTGTACGGCGCGAGAGTACTGTCCACCGTTTGAGAATCGTCTTTATTCATTGAACTGTCAGTCAGAAAAATCTGTTTTTGTTTATTTCGTGGCTTTTCAGTGACGATTGACGAGTGGTTACTTCAATCCGTATTTTATGAAATTCGAGTGTTGGAAATAGTGTTTTTTTAACGTAACAATCCTAATAGGTATTACTACTTTGGTATTTGAGAAGACAGGAGTCCAACGGAAGGATCATCCCCTATTGCCAGTTGCGCTTACCCCACCATCAGGGGAGACAACAAAGCCTCTAGCGTCACAGAATTTCTGGTGAGACAATCTGGGAAATGCAACACAAAGGGCTTCTCAGATAGGTGTTCTTAGACTGGCAGGCAGGCGCGTGTTTACTCCATAACCAAATGAACGCTTCGTTGTCTCTATCCGATAGCGTTTTCTTACTGCAATTTTTTAGTAAGAACGGATTTTCCTAGTGAAATTATACATGTTCAAAACCAGTCAGCTATTATTAATAAGTTATCTTAATTTCCTAGTGATAAACTAGGCGTCTCGTCGCATTTTTTTCCATTGCTCTTGTCTCCCTAGCTTCTGTTAGTGAGCTTAAACGCATCGATTTTTGTTTTTGTTTGGGTGCATTCATTTCTCAACCCAGGCTAATGTTGCTCTCGGTCGCGATGAGAACCCGTCTAATTCGTTGCCAGATGATGATCAGGACGAGGCTATCGACGGACACGGACACGGGACGTTTGTAGCCGGTGTTATTGCCGCGACTAGTTTTGCCTCACGCTCTTCCGTGCTAGAATCTCTGTTTTCGGGACGCCGTGGTCGGCCGATCGGTTCTAATCCGTGGAATGATTGCCCACCACCGGGCCTGGCTCCACAAGCTGATCTCTATATTTTTCGCGTGTTCACAGACACCCAAGTTTCATACACTTCGTGGTTTTTGGATGCTTTCAACTACGCGATCTCACGTGGATTACACGTAATCAACTTAAGTGTTGGCGGGCCGGATTTTCTCGACCAACCATTTGTGGACAAGGTATGAGCGCCAATCTGATGGTGATCTCACTTTCGCTTATTATAGTTTTTATCTAACTTTTAAAGCCCATCTTGTAGTTCGCGTTTGCACATCAGTTGTTTTAAACTTTGTTACTGCAAGGTCCCACTTCAGTAGAAGGGAGATCTGTCAACTTAGACTGCGAGACTTAGCTTATGAAGCCATTTGTACTCCTTACGTATCAATTGTTTTGGTTCGAATGCGGGACGACGACTTAACAAGAACTCGTGGGGTTTTCTCTTGCAGCCGCAGTTGGAGCCTCCGACTCAATAGTCTGATCCATGAGGCAGCGGGGCATCGTTGTTCGATTTTGTTATCCACTGTTGCACTAGTCGATCCGTTTTCCGGGTTCATTCCCTAACCACATGCACTCAGTGGAACAAGCGGGGCATGTTTGGGCCAAAATCTTTTGGATACTGCTTATTAGTTTTGTCGATATCTTTTTTAGCGCGAGAGTTCTTGATATTCCACCTCTACGTTCATTTAGAAAAAGTCTCTTCGACAGCTGACCTACTTTTCTTTGTATTTATTTGCTGTAGTTTTATCTACGGTTGTCCACTGGTTGCCTGTGAGCTGGCTCTGTGAGATTATATCTTCTCTGGCCTTCACAATTCTGGTCCGTTTTCATTAGAAGTATTTTGTTAACACTGCCTTACCGCGATGTTATCCTCGCGAAAACATTCAAAACAATTTGTTATCAATGAAAACAAATGTCGACGAGTCTCGTGACTCTCTCTCCCTCTCGTTCTTATGTGCCCAGGTATGGGAGCTCTCATCAAATGGTATTCTCCTGGTCTCAGCAATCGGCAATGACGGTCCGCTGTTCGGCACGCTGAATAATCCGGCCGATCAAATGGACGTACTTGGCGTGGGTGGTGTGGATGCGACTGGGCGGATAGCCCGGTTCTCCTCTCGCGGTATGACCACTTGGGTAAGTTTCGTTTGCAGCTGACGCCAGCAAGCTGCAGGGGAAACTCAATGACCGCGGAGGAGCTCTGGTCCATTAGCTACTTTGTTGCCACATTTATCGGTCCTTTTCCACCAAATACTGCCGTGCTTAGCCTTGCAAAAAGGAGGTATTGCTCCCGAGCAATTTCGGTGTTGAATTCATCTATTGCTCGCAATCGAAACAGTCTACCGTAGCCGTTGGCTTAACACACTTATCGGTCTCACAGAAAGTCTCGTATTCCAGTCAAACTGGGTTTTTAGCAGTGACTACCTTCAATGATTTTTTTCTCATTTTGATCGATACGCATTTATTTCGCAATATGCCCGCTGTAGTTTAATGTCGTGAATCAAACATTGCTCTATGGTAATGCTGTTCAGATGAGATAGAAATGACTGATACAGTTTTCGGTTTCCGATAATTTATAACAATTTTTACCGACTAAGATTAGATTGGTTTGTGTTACATAACCAATAATTGGCTGCTTTTTCCGTATCTGTTTTCGGATCTAACCGTCGCGGGTGTTGCAAATCTTCACACATCGTTTTATCTATTTGGCGTGCAATATCACACTTGTGTTCCCATTGGAAGGCTATCCCGTTCGGTTATGGACAGGTAAAGCCAGATGTTGTCACCTTCTCCACGGGGGTTATTAGTTCGGCGATTGACGGGAAGTGTCGAACACTGTCGGGGACGAGCGTGGCCTCACCGGTTGTCACCGGTGCTGTGGCGCTTTTAATCGAGTATGTTATGCAAGTGTTTCTTGACAACATCAAACGTATGGTTTTGTATCAATTGATGATGAATGGTTTCTGTTCCTTTTTGGGTCTATACTAGCACTGCAGGATAAACTGTGCTGTGACGGCTATTACGACAGTGTAGATTCAAAGAAACGGATCAAGTTCCAACGCACGTGCCTCAGCTACTCGCATCGCATTGGTTGCCCGTTCGTAATTAAGAAACTCTTGGAATCGGCTTGCATTGCTAGTCTGGCGGCTTTTGTTCACTTCACATTTTTCATCGTCACAGTTATAAGTGCTGTCAGTGTCTTCAAGTCGACAAGCAACACAACGTCAGAATATCTTTGTTTTTCCGATCATGTGCCGTTATTCTTCTTGTTGACGCGGTAAAGGAATTGCTGCAATTTGCGAGAGTTACCCCAACATTGTTTCCTCATAGATACCATCACGGAGACTGATACGGTTTTCAGATTTAATTCAAATGTGTGTCACGTAATTCCTGGTGGTTAATCACCACGCACTGGGTGCCACAGTTCTGGTTATTTCGGCAAAATCCCTATATATATATATATATATATATATATATATATATATATATATATATATATAGTAGCTGTACCCGGCCACGCGCTGCTGTGGCTCAGTCTGGTTAAATGGAAAAGACAGGAGAAAGCGCACGTTTCTAATTCGTTTAATTTCAATATGCCTGTGGGTATACAATATTTTTTTGTTGTATCATTGTCTATGCAGACACAGAGATTGTCTGGTTTGCCGACTTTAGAACACAACATATAATTGCCCATATGAAGAGCGATCCGTGTCTAGATCCAAACCACACAATTCAAAAGATTGGCCCTGAGCTTTGTTGTTGGTGAATGCAAACGCCAATCGAATCGGGAATTACAATTTCTTGAATTAAATCATAGGAATGTAGGGAATGAAAATATCTTCACTTTCGAAGTGTTCTGTCAAGATGGTTGCTTCTACGATGAGGCTCATTAATTTTTTACTGTAAGCCGTGTGTCGTTGCAAAGCCCCGGCTGGCTGATATTTCGCAACATGACAATTAAAACGTCGATTTTCAATTGCAGTACGTGCGGTGGCATTCCTGGAAGATCTGTTAGATAATTAACTGATTCATCTGCTTTTACATGTGTCGACGAACTTGTATGTAATTGCCTCGCTCTAAGTGATACACTGAATAATATTAATAAGATCGTAGACGTCTTCATTTTTGACCGCAAGAATAGCTCGTGTTTTCAACCAATCATGATTCTTTTTGCCGTTTTGAATATTGGGAAATACTATTTCAACCTACTCATCTTTTGATGTCATTAAATTGCAGAACGTATAAGGGAATGAAATTTGCCTTGAGGTCACATCAACCGGCACCCTTCCGTCCACAATTTCCAACAATTGATGAGCAAAGATCTTAGCTGATCGGTCGTTTTGCAGCTGGGCACGTATATTTGTAGTTAATTTCAGCGGTAATACGTATCGCCACAAAGCAAACTATTTCGGGCAAGCATTTATTTCGTCCGCTAGTGTCGAAAGAACAAATACAGACAGTGTATGCTGAAATCTGCAAACAATATTAGTGCGTTCCCAAATGGTCTGATGTTTCCACGCAGAGTTTGCAATATTTGATCAAGAGCCTCGTGCGACATTTTGTACGCATTGATGCATTCATCTCAAACCATAAGGTTTGCATTCCTGCGATATTTTCCCCGTGCCCAGTGCTTTGGAATAGTTGAACGTGGAGGTTTCCACGGATCGCATTTCAAAACAGAATGAGCAGTTCTTTCACCTGGAAGCAATTTCGCAGCTATTCCGGACGACGCTAGAGCTAAGGCGATGTTATTATGGGGTCGAATTGCTGTCAGAAACAATCTAATTGGGAACGTTTTGTCTGTTCCTCCTGGCTCATCTAAGAAGATTTTTCCGACACTTATTGGCAGTTTTCATTATTTGATCGTAAATGCCATTGTGTTCAAGCGTTAGCCGAGGAATATTTGATTGCGAATACGACGAGAGATCACGCGCGTTGTAACTTTGTTCACGACGCAATTCTACATCGAACGAAGCAGCAGCCGATCGATTTGGTGGTGGCATTCGTAATTAATTGAGAATTTTGTTCGCGATTTGTAGGCACTAGTCTCTAACCATTATCAACGCTGAACTGTAATAGTTAGGCGGTAATAAATAAACAGTAAAAACGTACAACCGAATATCTACAAGTTTCTGAGTAACGTACAGATCACACCGTCTGCACTGAACAACTCGTAATGTGATGGTGCGAATCGTGAACGGATAAGCATATAACGGGATGCGCGAAGCTGATTGGATGGTACAGTTGCAGTTCAAGATCTGCGGATGTGTATGTGTTTGGCACTGTGTGTGTAATCATACGACAAATGCCAGGTCGCCGCGTAGTGCGTACATCTGGAGAGAACAAGTAGACAGAAATGTGTTCGCGTGCGTAAGCCAGCGCCCAGGAGAATCTGTTAGTGGGATGAGCCAGTGTGTGCTTGTAGGTGTGGGCGTGCGTGCGTCGTATATACATGGAGCGGAAATCGATGGTCATGCGTGCGCGCGTGACGGCGTGTGAGGACAGCACATCATGGGAGCAGTGTCGCGTGTTAATTAGTATATGACCCTTGCCATGACCTGGTCATATCTGCGTATGGTATGAACGTACGCACCCAACCGCATGGTGACAATCAGGTGTGGTAGTTAGGTCGGGGAAACTCGTCTGTTAGAGGGTACATTAGGTACATAAAAACACGCACGTAATCGAATGCAACATTTTATCGAAATTCCAGAGCAATCGGTGGAGAGTTTCCGGAAGTTTTAGATTAGGATCAACCGAACATTTGTTTATAGTTTAGTGTTATGTTCGATAACAGCGTTATCAGAAAAGATAGTAGTCAGTCGATGGTTTGGTTACCGTGGATAACCTTTCTCAAGATCAGTATATATATATATATATATATATATATATATACAACACTGTGCCCGTTGTTTTTCGGCGTAGCAGTCTCAGACGAAGGCGAGCTAATCTGTCCTTTGAAATGCTCCACTTACCTTCTAAGCGTCGTTCATGAGTTTTGAATCAGTGATCCGTTCGCTCCACTGATCAGTGCAAGACGCAGGTCAAGTCACACCCGGGCAAGACCATGATGAAAATCAGCATCGTGAATCAAGTAATCAGCAGCCTTGGAGCGATCCAGGTCAGCAGCAATAAAAAGCAATGTGGTCGATTCGAGTCCAACTCTGCGAAGGCTGAGGAAGACACTAAATGGTACGGTGCCGCTTCCTGTGAAGAATACGTATTCAACAGGAGCGACCTGTGATCAGAACGCACTTGGGCGATTTAGTTACCGTTACCGGTGTGGCTGACTGGGGCGGCAAATTGGTCCATATGTATGTTCGTTTCATCAAGCCTTCTAATTTAGGCGTTGGGATGGCCAAAGGAAATCATGATGCCCGTATGACGTACGCTGCGCAGTTTGGGAAAGTTCTGACGCGATTCATCTTTTGTTTCAGTAGGTGAATACGCATATAATGAAAGTCTTTTGACCTTGTTTCGCACAGTGGCGTTCGATCGAATTGCGCGCAAGGAAATGATCGGGATCCAGCCCATTAATATGCGCTCAGCTCAAATCTGAAACAGTGCCGATGTCAGCATTGTCACGAGTACTAGACGCCGATATGTAAACAGTGCGCTGTGAAACAGACTGTAGTATGTTGAAGAGTTATTACCAAATTGTGGTTTGGTATACCTTTTCCCCAAACAACCCTAATTTGGAGAAGCTTGGCTGGTTGGTTAACTCGACCTTGACAACTAAAATGATAAACCAATAACGACGAAGAGGTGATGAGCGGCAGAGCTGACTAACATCAATATTGACGAATGGTGATGAAATTCGAATCCTTGGATTATCAGTTTCACTTGTTTGCGGCCAGTACTGCTCTCTTGGTGCGAGTTGTGAATATCTTGAGAACTAACCAATCGCCACACGTCGCGTGGCTTGATAAGACCCAACACGTGCTGTCGAAATATGTTGAAAAGCATGTAATAATAATAACTATAGTTCTGCTATATTACTATTGAGACCACAATTCGTCTGATATGAATTTGAGCACAACTCAAGAAAATTAGGTCATGCAATATATTCCTTAGCAAGTCGCTGCATCTTTAGCGGTGCATGCTGTAGTCAAGGCGAATTGGATGTTCTCATAGAAACTGGCATACACGCAACTACGATCATTCTACAAGTGCTACCGAATGCGGGGACAATTAGCAACTAGAAACACTATCTAGGCATGGCTAGTGTAAGTAGCCATCCTCGCTGCCTATCTAGTTGGGGCTAGCGATGGCTAGGCGGTAGTGCACCTGCGTATCTTAACAGTCTTTGATTGTTTGCGACTTAAATGACGGAAAACGCCGCGCTCAGATCGATGCTACTCTGTGTTTCGTAGTCCTCAACTTGAGTGCTTAGCATCCGCTCGATGACGTCACTGATTTTGCTTGTACGTTCATTGCTCTCTGTAGCCATACCGAAATATGTTAGACCATTCGGTTACGTAGTTGTCTCCGTTTTGTCAGTGTAGATCGCTGAGCACCCACAGTTGTATTGGTAGATTTGATGGGATTTGACATGAAAAGTGATTGGTTCTTTCACCGATGGCACTCATCCGGGAGGCTGTAGAGAGAATGACGGTATTATCATCGCCATTACTTGAAAATTGGTCGAGTTTATCAGTGAGTAACCGGTCGTGATGTAACATTTTCAAAAGTTGACGTTCCTTGTGCTTCTGTTTGTTGTCTCTCCGTCCTTCAGTGCAGCACTGCAACAGAACGCTGCCTTGGCGAATACCGAGGCGGGAAGTGATCATCGACCAGTTCAAGTGCCTATCAACCCCGCAAGTGTGAAACAAGCACTGATTGCCGGTGCCACGCGACTTTCTCAGGTGCGTGTGTTTGGCACAAAATTCCCTCGATGGCCGGACGACGAAGATATGGATACCAGCAGCATGTTCGAGCAAGGTGCGGGGTTGGTGGATTTAGTTAAGTCACTGTTGGTGAGTGTTATTTAATCTTGTGAAAATACTGTATTCCTCCCAGAATGGAACGTCTTTGTACACTGATCCTGATGATTAAATATCTCTGAATACGAATCATCTCAGTTTTTCAGTTATCAGTTATTATAGAAAAGTGTAGGGGTCCAGTAAATTTCACAACTACACTTGCAATTGCTCCAGATCCCCTTTAACCTACACTTAGTGTATCATATCCTAGCTGTGACTCAATGTAAATGAGGTCTCTTTTTCCAGTCGTATCGATCAGCTGCAGACTAACCTGCTGCTCGTGCTGGGAAAGACTCGTGTGTTAGACTGTCTTCAGTACGAAATATGCACGCATATTGATTGTCCTTGATTGTGTTGTTTTTCTGATTGAGTCATGGTGCGTAAGAATCATGTTCCAATCAGCGCCACTACGTTTTTAAGGAATCGCCTACCAAGACAAAATAACACTTCTCATAACAAACTGAACGTCGGATGTCTGATCTTCATACAAGAAGCTTCGCTGACTCAAGGCTATATGATATCATACCTACCCATGTTCCGTCTTGATTTTCAACTGGTGTTCGCATAAGAAGCAATAGTTAGCTCAGACCAGTAGCGATCGAGTGGTTTAGGGCGTTTTCCTGTCACCTCGGAGGTCAGAGGTTCGAATACCGCGACCACTGGTCTCTTTGGTACTAGATAGTATTTCACTGTCGTCCGGCACTTTGGCGTAGTGTGATAGCTTTCGTGTCTCAAGGACCCAAAGAGCCATGCACGATGGCTTCCTTTAGCCGGAAACGCAGTTGTGCCTCTAAATCCATGGGCAAAGACCAGACGAAGTCCAATCTGCGAAGCAGTTGATGGGCAACATCTGGTTCTAACCACTGTCCCTGGACAGGACACTTCAGTAAACGAACTCGGAGACAAACAGTTTACCGGTCAAAATCCTCCACTAGACGGGCTTAGGGGTGGAGTACTTGGGAGTTTCCCTTGACGATGGAAGTGCGGACTTGTATCATATTGTAGCACCGAACACCGTGGCAACAGAATGAGACGCGTATCAAACCGATCGAGCCAGCCGACAACCGCAGGCCAAAGATAAGATGGCGCATACATCGGGAGCTTCCCGCTTCTAATGCCACACTGGACTCTGGTTCAAACGATGGATAACCTCGACATCAGTTGCTCTGTTGGATGTTCACAGATCCGACCCTCCGGATGCCACATTCAATGAAGTACGTAAATAACCGAGACGCCAACTGACTAGGAGCCTGAGAAATGACTGTGAGCAATGATTGTTTGCGAAATTTTGGGAGATAGAAAAGGCTGCGTCCATTGACAGTGGTCGCAACCTTTTCCGTTTGGTTAGATGTTCCAGTCCACGGAAGCTTGGTGTAAGTGACTTAACCAAGAAATCCGACAGCTAACTGATTCATTCCCACAGATGTCATCTGGATAGTTAAGTGGAGAACTTCAAGGAACAATTCAGTGTGTCCATTTCAATGGTGAACCATCCGAATATACCTGCTAGGGAAAGGATGAAATTGAATATCACTGCTCCATCGGAGATGACGATCATGCCGGAGGTAGGTTATCTAAAAGAGAACAAAGCCGCCGAATAGAATGGTTTATCTAGAACTTTTTCCAAGAATCGGTGATTGTTCCATTCTGCTAAAAGTCGCCAGGTTCTCTTTGTGAGTTTCGTACTCAAACTGCTCATCAATTATCCAGCGCCCGTGAAAGGTGTACGCGTGAGAATCAGACTGGTTTAAGACGTCATCGGGTTTGTAGCGAATACTTCTTCATCGTTCTACGATTGTTCGAACAAAGGCATATCTTCCGCAAACCCACAATATGTCTTTCTTGATCTAGATGCGGCTTTGACTCAGCCTATCGCACAGTTGTCTAGCGCTACCTTTCATTAAAGGGCGTGTCAGGGATATCTATTTCTCTTTTTCAATCCTTGTATTCAAACAGCCATAGCCGAGTTCCCGCTCACTGCAGCCTTTTAAGCCAGTGTAGTCAGGGTTGCCCTCATTCACCCTTCTTCCTCAATTTTGTAATTGAAATGGTTCTTGAGACAGCCCTATCCCTGTGGCATCTTTATTTTTCACTAAGTCCAATCCAAACAAATCGCAAGATCTTTTGGATAAGCTTAACAGCAGTGTAGCATTGTTTGCAATGCATTTTCAACTTCAAAGTGTAAAATGCTGCTGTAGGATCGGGTTGGCTCTACACCAAACATTGTTCTGGTAGATAAGTTTTGTTTCCTGGACAGTCACATCCTACCAGGTGGTCAGATATCGGATGGAGTGTTATCGCACATACAGAAGGCGCGTTTGGCTTCTGCCAATCTGTCATCTATGGCACCGATGTGACATCCGATTGTCTGTTAAGAGTCTAGTGTAGATTGCGGCAGTCAGATCGGTTTTTTAATATGCTTCAGAAACATGACCATTAAGGGTAGAAGACAGAGGAAGGCCGTCGGTGTTTGAGCATCGATGTCTCCGTAGCATTGCTGCTGCGGAAACATCGCGTCAACAAGTCTGAGATTAGACGCATGGTGTTGGGAACCAGTGGTCAGACATTGTAAAGGATATTGAATCCTAACAAGTTAAAGTTGCTGAGAAATTTATCACGCATGCCCACCAGTAAGCGTCTTCGACTTACGTTGTTCTCCGAGGCAGGTAGTGATTGAAGTGTAAGTCGAGGTGGTCAGTCCATGACATGAGAAACAGATACGAAAATCCTTACCAGTGAACTTGGCAAGATTAAGCGTGTTGGTCCTCCGGGTTGGGCTCCATGAGCCTCGCTTCCCCGATGATGTGAGTCATTGTGTGACTAGCTGGCTGTCGCAGCCAGTGGTCTATTTCCTTTCGGACGGTTTCTTTGTCCTCGTGGTTTCCACTTACTACTTGCTTGCTGGCTTTTTCACTCTATGCTTTTATTCATTCTTCCCTGAAGTTTACGATGCAGCGAGGTAGCCACAATAGCAGCCACAGAAGTGCGGGGTTTATGTCCGAATGAACTGAACTGGGAATCCGAGTCTAAGGGCCAGGTAGCTCGTGATCCCTAGTTGTGACCTCTAACTGACCGCGACACTTTCTGGAATATGTACAGTGTGGACAATGAGCCCGAGGTCATCCTGAAAGGTCGAATTTTACAACTCACTACTGAGAAGGTTGTTAGTAGGCAAAATTATTGCAAATACCACAAAGTAACAAAGCTAAAAAAGTGTACCTGAAAATTGGACGATAGAGAAGCAAATAAGTAGACTTGGCCGGTATTCAGTGTAGAATTATGGTTCTAAACTCCACACCAAACCTGGTCGAAGAGTCCATAGGTGATATATTCCTTCTAAGTATGTGGGTTGCTAATGAAGATGAAGTGTCATAAAGTCGGTGATCCAGACGGGTTGCCGGCAAGGTTGCTACCCGAATTTGCTCTCAATCCATCCTCAGTGTTAACATGATTATTTGATAAAAATTTTCTCCTCTAATGATATCCTGAACTATGCTAGGATGGCATCCGTGACGCGACTGCATGTTAACTGCCTGGGAGATATTTTTTCATACTAAAACCAGTCATCCTGACTCAAATAAGCCCTAATAAAGATGCAGCCATATGCTCCAGAATATATATCCTGCAATCTGATAATCTTGGATTGTGTGTTCAAAGACTTCTATTGCATCTAACATGTTCCGAGATAAGAACAATTGGTACGGCCAACTTTACCATCGTCACCTAAGTGTCCCTTTGAATGTCATTGTGTCATGCACTATTTTGTTTTCCATTCCCTGGGAAATGTAAAGCCGTTAGTATATGTGGTAGGGACTGTAATAATGCATTCAAATGGGCAACAAGGAGAACATTTCCGTTTATATAAGGTGTAGTTGGTAGCTCGCAATCTACCGGTGGTCGTTTATCTGACCACTTTACCAATCGCGAATAATTAACACATGGTCATGATCACATTGTCTTGACTATTTTCAACGACGGAAGTTCTTCAAGGTTTCTTTCTACCACTCTTTTTTACCCAACGTATCATAAGAGTTTTAAAAAGTCTATTTTTAGACTCCAGTGAATAGCCGACTTGTTTTCTTTCATCACTTAATTTTAATTCACCGTCTAAAATTTACATGGTCGAATGATCTACATACTGTGTTAACCTTTCACGTGGTTCACCGCGAGGCGTTTATCATCATGCCTAAAAGAGACGTGGCGAAATATACGTTTTACGCCCAACAAATCCGAATAATAGTTTACAGTATCATCATTGAAGTTGTGGTGCACTCCTTTAGCATGAGTATAGACCTTTGATGGGGTGAGCCTAATTTGCCATTGAACACAAAATTGTTTCCGCAGTGTAGCATAGGTCACAGGTTGTCTTTAAAGTGCTGTTAAAGAGGCTAGCACAGCTATGGGATAGCTAACAAATGAAACAGGGCCATAAAACAACAGTTGTGAGAGATCCATCTGCAGGGAAAGCCTCTAGGCTGAGAAGTTGATGTTCTGGTCCCATGTGTGTTTCATAGATAGATGATAAATATGCCTCTACACGGAGAGAATGATCGCTGGTAGAACAAAGTGAATAGTAGAAAAGGTGACCAGGCTGTGTAGATCTTCAAGAATACCGACTAAGTCTTCTGCGGTTCTGAAGAGAACCAGTAGGTCGTTTTCCGATCCAGATCTTCATCGTGTGTTCTGTTACAGTAGGTAGCCAATGCTGAACCCCCCTCCTACACCATGCACAGACAGGCACTCACAAAATCTCTATAGTGATGCATCGACCCCAGATTTCTAGACACTGGTCACTTTTTTCTTATCGTGTGATCTACACGCTACGTAAACTACGAAGGATCAAGGTAATCACCATCGTATATGATCAAGCAATCACCGCTTTACATGGAAATGGTTGAATAAGCGCACCTGAATAAGTGCTCCAAAACCACCCACAGACGTTTATCATTCTTCAGTCGCCCAGTCCATTGAGTGTTAGTCACGACGAACGATGG